CAAACCACTGCACACTTACCATTGTGCATGTCCTCCCCAGTCAAAACGCTCTACTTCTAAAAAGCACATCTCTATTATAGGGTGCATTATTGAGAAATCAGCTTGAAACTGTAACCATTTCCATTCTCCCCTAAAGCAGATTTTATCTAGCCATGAACTGTAACATTACTCAGGAGGCAACCAAAGAGAAGGCTGTTTAGAGATAATTCTTTCCTGTCTTCACCATCTTTATTTGGTACTAGATGAGTCTGGCAAAGAAATATCTTTTGCAGTCATTTTCTTGTTATTAGAAAAATGTTTAATGTTTAGAGTCTGTTGTTGCTATACTGGAATTTAAAGAAGAAAGCATACATGCCATGTGCTCTTCAACATCCCATTGTCAGAAAGAGGCCATGACGCCAGTGGTTGGGTTTGCAGCAAGGCCAGCAGGGCCCGCTGGTGTGTACCTGCCTTCATCCCAAGCGCCTGGCGCTGAGTCACACCCCTGCGTTCTTGTGGCCTGCAGAATAAGGACATGTGTTGCTGGCTGACCCCTCCATCGTGTGTCCACTATCTCTGAAGGGCACTGAGGTGGGCGGCCCCCAGGAAGCTGAGCTCCCTTACCCTGAGCAGCAGCAGACTCCTGTTCCTGTCTATCAGGAACAAAACCACTCCAGTGAGGACTTGAGGACACATTGCAGGTGTCTGTGCTGTCCTGTGAACGGGTCAGGCCATTAGGGCTGCAGGGCATCGCTCACCTGCTCTGTCCACATCATTCCCAGAGAACCAGTGACGCCTCTGCATGAAGTGGGTGCTGGCCACCTCCACGTTTTGTCCCAGGGAACCAGTGACGCCCCTGCGTGAAGTGGGTGCTGGTCACCTCCACGTTTTGTCCCAGGGAACCAGTGACACCTCTGCGTGAAGTGGGTGCTGGTCACCTCCACGTTTTGTCCCAGGGAACCAGTGACGCCTCTGCGTGAAGTGGGTGCTGGCCACCTCCACGTTTTGTCCCAGGGAACCAGTGACGCCT